TTAAGGAAACCAAGCTTGGGAACGGTTTTTTTTTACTGCCCCAGATGATAGTCTCAGTTAAGGATCCCTGAATTAATGTAGTGAGCGGCAAGTGAATGGCAACTGCAGCATGGACCAGTAGCTAAAATTGTTCTTTGAGAGGCCTGCTGGTCACAGCTCTGCTTCATCTTCGTGCCCTTCTGGGACCATGGCGCCTACCTCTGGACCCTTTCAAGCATGGGCAGTGACGGCAGTTTCGGTTCTGTATTAGTTCTACTCTGTTTTCGGAGGACCTCGGTCTTCAACACGCTGAGCCACCACTACTATGAAGACTACCGGGAGATGCGTCTTTTCTGGACCAGAGAGGAGCATGAAAAGGGTTGGAAAGGCAAGGGTCCGGCCGGCCCCGTCTTGTTCAATGTTCATGAAGGCTTCTCTGCCTGCATGTTTTTGCCTCAAGCCCGACATGTCAAGGCATTGGAAGTTGGGAGGAAGAATGCTCCAACTTCAAGGCCGCGTGCGTCAGCTCCTCGCATACTTGGAGCCTGGGCACTTCAGGGGGCTGCCAGAGGGGCTGCCAGAGCTGAGGACAGAAATGCTAGAAGCCTCCAGCTCAAATCAACTCCCATATCTTTAAGCAAACACGCAGGACAACCCACCCTGAAAGGCCCTGAAATGCACTCAGGTCCAACACCTCCATGAACAAGTTTGAGATTGCTATGATGCTTCAAGTCAAGTTTTCTGAGGAATGGGGCCGGCACCTGAAGTGCACCATGGGCCGATTGTTGGCAAGCGCTGGTTGCACGCCGGGGCGCGGAAAGGGAGTCGCTTTGGTTTTTGCCCAGTCTAGCTGACAGATGTTGAGAGTTAAGACTCGAGTCTGGATTTTGGGCATTACCTTGCCTGGGTGACAGATTTGACTTTCTCAATTTATGTCGCATATGCCGGTGGTCTGACCACTTCAGTGACACTCAAGACCGTTGACGTGAAGCTTGCCTCCACCCCCCAACAAAGCCCAACAGCCTACATGAACAGCTTATCTGAGAACTTCCGGACTGGAATTCTCTCAAAAGGATGCTGAGAGCAGTTGCAAGGTTGCCCAAGAGGCCCAAATCTCCCAGATTTGTTCAGGAGGCTCTTGCCGGCAGTTCCGGGCATAGGCTTCTCGCTGGCTGGCAACCTGCAGTATCCTGCGAAGGACTGCCGAACTTCTACTCAGGCTGCTTCTGAATTTTCGGGCGAAAAGAGGAAGCACCCAAGAAAGTTCCTAAACCTCTTTAAGTCCCAATCCAACAGGACTATGCTTCTGCATGGCAGGGAGGCGGCTCCATTGAGACGCCCTGGGCAAGAAGTTAGCATTCATGAATTGGCAGCAGGATCCAGGGACGTGGGAATCTAACTTGGATGGGCTGTCAAAGGTCTCTTTGGTTTCAGCAGAAGGCACTTCAAGTTTGAGGTTGATGGTGCATCCTGTTTTGTTTTTGCACTTGCTTTAGGAAGCATTGGCACGGCCGTCACCACTGGGCCACCGACAAGCACTTCGGCTACGGGAGACCTGGCAGCCACGGCTAACTGCGTGTCCTGTCCTGTGAAGCCTTCAACATACGTCCTTGCCACTACTGTCACTACTGAGCGTACTGGCAATCAGGACCTACGACTGCATTGCCAACCTCGGTTCCGGAGGAGATCCAGATAAGCGCGAGGCAGATGGTTGCAGAGCTTTCAGAGTGACAAGTCTAGGCCGACTTGATCTTTCTTTGTGAGCAACTGGCTTTGCCGTACAGTTTTGCGAAGGCAGCACTACTGGGCTTCTTGGAGGAGTACCAGATGCTCAGCTGCTTGGGGTTGGTTTAGGGCTTGCAATGCCTTCAGCTCTGGCTACCACCACCTATGGTACTCCATGGCAGAGGCAAACTTCCTCCTGCTCGTGGAAGGAACTGTCCATCAGTGCTTTATTGAAAGAAAGGTGCAGGCCTGAAACGAAAGAGGAGATGGGGGGTGTGGGGCTGTGACGCCGCTCCGTGAACAACGGCTGGAAAACATGGTTAATGGGCGGATTCTTCGCCGAAATTGCAGAACTGAAGCAAGCACATGCAGGGTTCCCGCCAGCTGGGAGCTTATGGCGCGAATGATTCTGCCAGCAAGCACACCCACCTTGAATCTGATGAACGCATTCAGCAAGCTTTACAATCATCCTGGCTTGCACTAGCCACTGGAAGTTACTCGGGCTGGCAACTAATGAGCCCTTGAAGAGTTGTCATTGTACGCTGACAATTGGGCAGCTGACAGCACAAGCCACGCATTGACAACATCAAATCTTCCGATAAATTGCGTGACGGCTGGCAATCATCGTTCACAGAGAAGCCTGGATGAACCCACATTCATACGTGAGCGCCCATTTATCATTGCATCAAATCTGATAGAGAATGGGAAGTAAAAGCCTATCATGTCACGCTCGAGGAAGCTGGTGGAGGGCACGGTGAAGGTGGCATCGATCCTGCGGAGTTAGATGAAGTTAGTGCTAGCATGTGTCAGTGGGCTTCATGAGCCTTCGGCTGTTACCTGCCCAGGTAGGAAGCAGGGTTCCGGACCCAAAGCTCGCACCAAGAATGTTCCCTGCAATCATTCAAGCGTTTGATTTCAGGATTGCATCCCGGAACCTAACACGATCTTAAGATGGTCCAGATCCGCTCCAAAATGCCAGCGCCTATAATTACTTTGGAGACGAAACCCTTGTTGCCCTACCCGGAGGAATTTCACAAAAGGTTTTTTGATCAGGAGCTTGACACATAAGATAGAGCTTTCGAGCTGTGGTATGTAAGCTGAATGGACAATGAAGAATCGCAGTCTGCTCTTTGAGCACTTGGACGACTGCGAGTTGCAGCAAAAGGTCGCCGACCAACTTGATGTTCTACTTCTACCGCTGAACTGAATCTTGCAAATGGTCTGGCATGCATGCGATGGCTCGGGCCTGTGTCTGATTTTGTGGACCGCTTGTTCAAAGTGTATTGCTTTCCGGATTGCGATGTAGGAGGTCTCTGACCCATTCTTGAGGCAAAGTTCATCACATCACTTGTCACTGAAATGGAGCCCTGTTGGTACGCTGAACCTCTTACTTGGCAAGACCTGAAATTCCTCAAAGCCCGCAACTCAACTCGCAACAAGAATTAAATCGAGGCTCTTCCCCAACCTTAACTCCAAACTGAACACCCCACGCGCGAGAACTCTGAAGCCATGCCGTTTCAACAAGTTGAAGCCATGCCGCCTGCGGTTGGTGCCGGCCTTCTCGCAAGCCTGGCTGCTGGATGGGCTCTCTTCCACTGGTGGACCCCGCAGAATTTCATAGTTGGATATGACAAGTGCTTAGGTGACTTGAGAATCTGACAAAGCCACTCGGACCTGAGGGGGTTCTCGTGAACTCGTCTTTAGCTGCCAAACCTGAATTTTAAAACCTCACCGACTCCAAAGAAACCAGCACCAAACTTCTGGAGTCCCAAGACTGCTTGGGCGGACTGATGCTAAGTCATTTGAGACCATGTGACCTTGGAGGACTTGGGATTGCCAGCTCCGTGCTTTTCCAGCCTTCCGTGGCACCTTCCCTGTCTGGTGGCGGATGCCCCAGGTGCGGAGAGGGCTGCTCTTTTTGGAGCTCCAGGGGCGTGCCAGCTGTAAGAGCCCGCACTGGATCAGCATGAAAGCTCAGGCTGAGGGTACATTGACATGACGTTACATGTTATTCTATGTTTGATTGTTGCGGGGTGAGCCCGCAGTCAATGAGGATGTGTCGGGCTTCTGCCTGGATTCAGGGAGAAGGGCCGCCATGTCAACTGATTCAGAACCCTGTCCCACAACTTGTAAGGTAGAGCTCAATTTTCAAGAAGTGGGAGCTGGCTCTTGCAGCGCGACACGTATACCACGAAACTAGGGCCACATGAACACCAGAGAAGCCTGTTGACATGCATGTTGCTACATGGCACGTGCTGTCCAGGCGCACTGGATCACTCTTCAGCGGCTTTGGCGGCGACTCGCCTAGCATCACGGGTCGGGTGTTTGGATTTTCTATTTTGACGGTGTGTTTTTGATGTTTTTTGTTATTCTCTGTGTCCTACATTTTAATTCGGAGTGTCTACGCGAAATCTATTCTCAGGGTTTTCAAAGTTATCCCGCATTTTTTGATTTTAGTTCGTCTGATATAGCAACGAAATTCAGCGATGCTTAGCTTTTATTCTGGAGAGCTTTCCCCGGCTTCAGGGTCGGATGGCTGTGCCAAGGAGAGAAACACTCCTGCAAATGACGCCGGCACGCCGGCCTATTTCGCCTCCATTCCATGCAAGCGCTGTGTGCTACTCACCACGCTTCAAGCGTACCATCACCAGCTCCGATATTACCACTGCGATTTCATCTTACATAATCTTACTATTGTTGACGACGCCCCAGGCTGCAGTATCACGAAATAAGTACAGTAGAAGCGAAATAGGTTGGCGTAATGACTCGCAATAAGAAGGGTTTTTTCTTGTCGGCACGCCGCTGCAACATGCAACCCCCACGTGCCACCACCGCATGTCACCACCACATGCACCACTACATCCCACCGCCACATCCCACCACGTGCCCAAGCCGCAGCCACCCCATGGCACCCATGCAACACCTATGCAACCACCGCCACCACCACCGCCGCCGCCGCCGCCACCACCACCACCACCACCACCACCACCACCACCACCACCACCACCACGACGCCCTAGTGCACCAGCACCAGCACAAACACCAGCACCAGCAGCACCACCAACACAACTAGCACCAGCAGCAGCAGCAGCAGCAGCAGCACCACCACAACAACAACAACAACAACAACACCAACAGCAGCAGCAACAACAACACCAACACCAACAACCGCCACGACGACGACGACGACGACGACGATTACGAGGACGACGAGGACGACGATTACGAGGACGACGAGGACGACGACGAGGACGACGAGGACGACGACGAGGAGGAGGAGGAGGACGACGACGACGACAAACGCACTTTTTGCACGAAATCATAGCAGGCGTGTAGGAAGCAACAAAAAGCAATTTGAAAAACATGGCGCGTCTTTCGCGCCCCTAAAAATTTCATTTTGTACAGCCACCCAAAACGACTGTAAAATCAATCCGAAACCCAGGTAATTCATTGCGGACAGCAAACACACCCTTAGGGAAGTATTTCTCATAGTCTCAGATGCCTCCTAATCCCAAGAATGCAACCCTCTACGTTTGCATCGAGGGCGCCTTAGAAGGCATGCGCAAAAGGGATCTCATGTTCCTCAGGCACATGATGGGATCTGTGATGGGTAAGCAATACCGTGGAATATTTTCAAGAAAGTTGTGGAGAAGATTGCCGGGCAGATCGCAGACAATGATTTTGTCAAATGGACTCATAAAGCTCGGACTTACATGTGCAAGGACATGGTGAACATGTAACCGGATCATGGATGATGAGTCGACACGTTTGGCATACAATCCACGATTTCTAATTCCTGATGATCCTATGGTCAATTGATGGAAGGCTTTCAGATGATATTCCCAATGTTCATCATGGAGGTCAGGCTGTTGCCTACCTCATTTGTGAGTGGACATATGGGTAGCTGGGTTTTTAATTACCTCAATTCGAAGCACTTTGCACTTTTATGAGCCAATGCGCTTGTATCATACGCGTCAAATAGACACTTTTCTGATGCGTTTTCTTCAAAAGCGTTGTGATTCACAGTTCGCCCGTTCAACGTTTCACAAAAAAACACTCACATGTTTTGCAGGTCTACGTGGGGGGTGTCAACCTGTACAAACCCAAACTTGGTGGGTTGCATTGTATGTGCTCATTATTGTTTGTGGGTTCTTGATTGTGTGATCTTTGGTCAAGAACTCCAGAAGATTAGCCAGTGATCGGTGGTGCTTCCCGCTATGCCATTGAATGCCATTGATCACTGCGGACGTGCGGAAGAGCTTGAAGACTAAAGAGCGAAAACGACATTTTTACAGTGTTGTTAGCTGGCTTGGTTATCGGCTGCACAGTTGCAAGTTTACAAAATAGAGCAACGAGGTGAACACCTGAGTGAGGCAGTGCAAGGAGTGGGCAAAGACAGCAAGTAGACCAAGGGGTTTTGAGGGCGCTTGTGCTTTAAGACCGGGGCGCTATGTACAAAACAGTTAAGCCACGTCAGTCCTCGACAGCAATGACAACGTGCGCTTTGCAAGCTCCCCATAGAGGAAGAAGTAGCCTCTACGCGGCTCGTGTTCTTACACTGCGTTTGTCTGCTACTCCAGACTCTAGACACGTGACAATAATCTCAAGCCATTTACCTCGCTACAACGGGGCATACTTTGGAATTCATGTTGTTCAGCTTCGAAGGCCCATGTCTGTCAGCGATGGGTTGTTGCACGTTGTTGTTATTGGTGCTTAGTGAACTTTCTGCCAGGGGGCCACGCGAAGTAGTTCTCAGAGGGCTGCGTTCGACCTAGGAGCCAGACGAGCCTGGGTTTCTGGCGGGTGTAACATGGGTTCGCAAGCTCCTCACCTAGGTCAGCTTTTCAACCGTTTTTGTTCTGCCAGCCGAAAGGCTGGTGTCCGAGGTGGCCAAATCCCTGCCGCACTTATGCTACACCTGGTGGTCTTCCATCTGCCCAGTTTTTTATGCATCGGATGAGCGTCTACTTGAGGAAGCCATGTGTTTGGGCCTGGCCACTGCCAAACAACATACTGGAGAAATTGTTGTTTATGATAGTGCCCACATGCAGTTTCGAGTTATAAGCGTGACATCCTGGGGTCGAGTAGCGCCCTTGGTACATACAATCTGGCTCTCAGGCTCCTGACGCAAAATCCCCTAGCAACGATATGTCTGCACTTCTTTTTCGGCTCTTCCAAGCGCAGCGTCTCGTTGGGGATTTGCTGATGTAGGGTGGCCAAAAATGCATGTTAAAGGTACTGCCAAACATTGGCGTCTGCCACGACGCGGCATTTTTGCACATTTTGTCCGGCTCTTCAAAACACAGCGTCTCCCTGGGGATTTGCATCCCGTGATGTATAATTTCCAATCATGCATATTTCCCCGGTGCAGCGTCTACATGAGAAGATGAATATTATCAACGACTGATGTGTGATAACCCCCTAAGGATTGCTTGCATGTCTGTGCTGTGGGGGTTGGCATAGGGCGGGATCGGGGGAGCCAACGACGCTTGTACTTGTTGCGGTGGTTGGCCTCAGGGCTAGGGCTCCGGGTGGCCAGGGCTGACACCTGTCAAAACAAATCAATCCATGGAATAACATCCAAAACCCGAAGCAGGGGAGAGGTAAAAAATGCAAGGAACAAGAAAGCAAAAACGTGCTTTCGTGTTTTGATAGCAAGTTGAAACTCCGTGAAACCCCCCATGAAGAAAATTGAAGCTAGAGATGTGCCCTGGGCTTCGACCAAAGGCTACTGACTATCCCCGTCCGCCGGCTTCCGGACTTTTACATTATCGGAGCGCCAAAGAGTGGCACCAGCGCACTCTTCTCATACCTGCGCCATGGCCAGACATAGCAAGAGCCCCCGAAGTGCAAGGATACCTTCAGCGTTTACGTCATGGGGTCAGTGGCTCGGGGTTTTGGAGTGTAGGTTCCTTGCACAACTTTTTGTATGGACATTTCATTCTGCCCGAGTTCCGTCGAAGTCAGTCCACGTCAGTCCGCATCCGTCCGTTCGACGTGTTAACCCATAGTTTTGAACTGTATGCATCAATTGCATCATCTGCAAATTACACTTGCTCTATGCAGAGGTACAATGCTTCTGTAAGAAATCACCTAGCTCTCATAACAGCCCAGCCCAGAATCTTCAATGTAGTTCAGGATGGCGGAGACAGTGTGTTTGGATGACAATTCCGCTTGGCCTTTGCATGTTCTGTGAGTGTGAGCTCTAAGGGACACTTTTTTTTTCGCCCAGCTGAAAAAAATACTTGTAAGCATTTTCGGCTAGACGTGAATGACAGTCCCCGTAGATGTTTCTCGCTCGTCAAAACACAATGTACCCAATGCCAGCGGGCCTTGCGCGCTCAGATCTCTTCCACTGCCCTGCACCGCTTACAAACTCAGCCCACACCTGCTCTGCTGAGGAGCCTTCATCCCGCGATTAAGGTGCCGTTTATGAAGGAGACACGTTTCCTGGAAGGCAAATCTGATATATGCCATCCGTCCTTGACCCATAGTAACCCTGTTGCCACTGCATCCTTAGCGGGCTGTCAGGCACCTTGAATTTCCCAAGGCCGATGAAACAGGGCCAATCAACAATTCGAGCCTATTAATGGAATAGAACATACTAGAACCAAGCTTCAGGAAAAGACAGTGTTGACTGGCCAAACATCGGTCCACCATAGGATCCAAGATGGTTCAGACTGGCAATTGGAGGCATGTGCGGCTGCCGTCTTTCGGCCTTCAGGCGGGCAATAATCGTTCGGTCATAAGCTGCATTCCTGCAGACCCAAATTCTTTTGCTAGTTTGCTGCAGACGAACTTTGTTTCCTCTGCAGTCGGTGTCTCAAACGTGGCTGTTCAGAACAGCTCTGAAGGTATCGCTCGCTTTTTCCAACTTGGTTCGAATGCCCTGACGCTTGGAAGCTTGGAGACTGCTTTCCAGCGCATGTGGCTAAAGGTCTGAAGTTTGGTGGGTCAAGGACAAGAGTGCCAGATGAAAAAACATAAGCCTCTACAATCGAAATCAACAGTTACAACTACCATCAATGCAAATCAGTACGCGTGCACTTGCGATGGAAATTGAGGCCCAAGATGCATGCTGTTGGATTGCTTGGGTCTGGAGTTGCAGTCTGCAATCAAACAAAGCTGATCGTTGATGGGGTCGCATCATCCAGAGTTAAGCCTGCGCCAAGCACATGTTGTAGCGACCTCACACGGGGCAAGCAAGGCCAATTTGTTCTGAAGCTCCTTGATTCATTTGATTCTGCTTGATGGACCTCAGGGCGGGTACCTGACTTTTGACGGAGATGCTACTTCCTCGGTGCAGCCAGAGCTGGCCGCGACTCGCCTTTCAAGGAGTCATTCTGGTCAGGGCATGTGGAGAGTAAACTTCTGTTTTTCCAGCCTCTGTTGTCAGGTAGAGTTGTCAGGTAGAGGCCAACTAAGCACTTCCGGCTCGAGCAAATGTTTGAGCTACTGCATGGATTGCCGTCCCATGTTTTCGCATTTTGTTGCGCCTTCATCCTGGACACACGTTCATCACGTTTACTGTTTTGCTGAGGCATGCTGAGGCTGCTGCTTTTGCTATCGTTACCTTTACGAGCCCGTTAAAATTTGCTCTTTCCCTCACGTTTGGCCACTTGTCGCGTTTGCAGTTCAAGGGGGGGGGGGGTTCTTCGCATGCATTCTCTTGCTGCTGCTCATAGACTTGCGACAGGTGGTCTAACCTTCTTTTTTTCACTTGCGATCTCTCACATTGTCGCGTGGTCTGATTAGAAGCACGCACTGCAGAAACTAAGCCTTAGTAACCGCAAGCCTTAGTAACCTCGATTTTCGCACGCCTACGGTGACCAGAGCATCTATGCCCAAACAAGATGACGTCCGTGCGCGAATTCATACAGTGACCAGAGCATCCATGCCCGTACCCTCAAAATAACGTCCAATTTGCGAGAGCATACGCTGTCCAGAGCATCAAGAACAATGTCGTGCTTGCGTGAGACCGCACAGGAGGCCAGAGGCATCCATCTTTATTCCGAGTCGCCCATTAGTCCCAGCATGGTTCCAATAGTCCAAGCTGCGCCCGATTCGTCCAGTGTCTTTTTAATTGGTTACCCAAGGATTGTCCCATTAGTCCAGGGTTGTGAGGAGTTCTTAATTGCATTTTACGTCGCCCCAGTGCAAGGATCGATCGTCCCATTCCATTGGTGAAAAGGATCGTTCCAGTAGTCCAAGCTGCGCCCCATTAGTCCAGGGTGCTGAGCAGTTCTGATTTAGCGTGAGAAGAAGCAAAGACTGCTATGTCTACAAAAAAGCGAATTGAAAAAAAACCGTGTGAGTACAACATCCTTCGGCATGACCCAAGGAACTTGCATGCTTTCAAATATACGGGCGGCCGCAGGGGCTTCTGTAGGTTTGAGTGCGGAATCCATCTGACGTCAACCTTGAAGATGCAGGGACCGATGCCCCAACCCCCCACCGATACCGATACATATGTTAGCGAATGTTTATTGGGTTTATTTGTCCATTGCATCAAGTTCTCTCCAAAAGCTATAACCCTAAGATTGCAGGTAGACAACTGCCTGGTGCTAGATAAGAATGCCTCAAGCAATTATTGCCGTAGACGTGGCGTACAGAAAAGTCTGGTAGGTTTCTCAGTCAAACCGTTACCAAAACGATACCCAACCGATACCCAACCGATACCCCGAATCTTGTTTTGAAGGCCCCGGTCCATTCTAAGCCGTTTCCGATGATTGCTTGTGATGCTACCATTATGAGAGCAGCAGCGACAGCAACACCAAAGAAAATTCAAACCGAGCGTGGTCTCCGGTCTCGGGCTTCCAGATTTCAGATCGCCTCCCAACCCTGAAGGTCAGCAAGACGATGGAACCCACAATATTTGAGCTTAACCAAACCATAGCTGCCATAGCTCATGCTGCAAGAGTGTAGAAGGGGGCGCCGCAGGGGAATCAAGTGCTTTACGTTTGGGATAAGGATTTTTAAGCAAGGTTTTCGAATCCACTCAAATGCCAAAATGGCATACAACTCGGGGCCTGGCTGGGGCCCGAACAGCGAGAACTACTGTAAATGCCAGGGTATGAGCTTCTTTATACATCATATCCTACTTCAAACAACATTGCTTCCGAAATAGTGCCGAAGCCCCACGTTTAGCAACATTCTTGAAAAACGCAGCACGGATTTTTAGGCCTCTGGGAGTTCTTCGAATGCAGATAAAACTGTAGTAAAACTGCTGTTCTTCTCGCACACAACACAGGACAATAACCCATGGGGCGGGTTTTTGAGAATGCCATTCACTAACGTGCTGAAGAAGGTACAACGCAACAAGCGCATTTGCTGACTAGTGGCTGTGCTCTGACAGGCAGCCATGTACGCGCGAATGACGCCGAACGTTGCTTGCCTGCAAGCTTGGCGCTATTTTTTGCTTGGACCAATCTGAAGGTGACTTGTGTTCCAGCCATGTGTCTGGTTTTACAAAGCAATTTTGATTTTACAACAGCCGCCTAAATGTAGGTCCAGGGCAGTCGAGGGACTCGGGCCTTTCGCAGCAAGAAGCTTGCAATCTGTCTGGGGAATTCTGAAGCTGTAGCCCTTGCCGGAAAGTTGTGCCTTGCAAACCATGCGGCTTCCACAGATTTGCATCTGGACTCCAGAGCTTGCAAGCCCTACCATCGTGAAAGCTTGAAACCTGGTCAAGGCCAAGATTATCCTCTCCTGCCGCGAACCGTGCGATGGTGCTTTCTCCATGCACCTGACCTTGATGGAAGATAGTCCGCAGTCTACTTCCCAGATGCATTGTGTGGGGGCTATCCGTTTCAGGCTCATCATGGTGGCCGGTTTCCGCTCGTAGTCTCAGATCAGACGTGTGGCTTCAAATCAGGAAGGCTGCAGCTTGAGAGCAGGACTTCCAGATCAAATCTTTTTTTCCATTCAACCGTTTCGGATCCGAATGCTGGCTTCGTTTTTCTTCTTTCGGCTAAGCACAGTGTGATTTTCAGGCTGCATGGGATTGGATTTTTTTTCTAGAATTTTCAAGGTTATAAGTATAAGGGCTGAAGGTATTTCAAGCTTTGCAGTTGTCGGGGCTTACACATTTTCTGGTTCTAACCAAGTGATCTTGACGTGAGTGTCCTCTATGCCTGCGGCATGCATGAGGTCGTGGAAGGAGAGATGAATCTGAGAATTTCACTGCAGCCGCTGCCCAACATGCAATGTCAGCACAACTAAATCCGTTGGCCTCAGGCTCAGTAGTGGGAACAGTGAAGCACTGGCAAGGAACGACGCCCAAAGCCAAGTACACCACAGCAATATCTTAACAACTGCAAGTGTTGAAACAGGGTCGTGAATTCAATGTCATCATTGCCATGAAATTCTTTAGCAGAAGTCTTTGAGCTCGAACTTGAGCAGAGGAAGGTATGTCTGCGCAGTGTCTTGCCAGAGATGCTCCTAAGCACGGGAGATCGGATCCAGCAAACAAAACAAGAGATGGTCAGAGGCAAGCCATTCAGGGGACACAACAGAGTGTCTCTGTAGTTCTTGAAGGGTGCACGGGGCTGCGTCGTGATGGCTGCAGTCCAGTCCCCGGACCAGTTGTCCCGCGACCCAATCGTTTGTCAAAGCTCTGTGCCCGTCATCCTCAGCCCAGTTCCTACTACTTTGACTAGGCTCTGCACCAGTCGTTGGTTTCTTCTTCTAGGGCACTCTCTTCAGTTATCACAGATGTCACAATTTGCTCGAGTGCCTCTGCCTGCTTGTCCTTCTCTTCTGCCCGGCCTTTCATGGCTGTGCATGCTTGCCTCACAGAGAATTATCTGGTCACTCCTGAGGCCTAGGCGTTTTACGGTCTAGGCGTTGCCGTGTCAAGGATAGGGTTTGTGAGGTTGTCCATTTCAGAGCTTTGGGCATCCATGATTTACGTAGAGGTCCAAAGGTGTGGGTATGGGGGTGTGCGGTTTAGGAGGTTCCGTTGTAATTGTTGCTGAAGGTTTTGCATGACGATCGGCGGCCAGTGTTCAGTACAGTTCTCTTGATCCGCGGATGGCCCCCGAGTTTTCAGGTTGGACACATTTGACGCTTTCACAGTCCCTAAGAGACAGGCAGAGCAGATTGTTAGCGCTAGACCTGAAGAACTTACAGCAAGAGCTTGTTGGCTACTGTATGCGCGGAAGGTATAAGATGCGGTCCCGCATCAAGGGCCGGGGCGAACACTGCTTGAGTTTCCGGGACATGTACGATCTGGAGATTAAGCCGCCCGGACCTTGAGTACACGGCAGTGTCAGACGACAGGTTCAGCTTTGAGGTTTGGAATTCCGTCCGTTCCAAAGATGGCAGGGACGGCGCTAGTTGAAGCAAGAGGGACCTGCACCACTGAGCTCGAGGGTCTTCAGCTACAGAAGCGAAAGCTGAAGAACTTTGGGCTTTGACGTGTTCGTCTGACCTTGCAAGATAGAGACGTCTTGCTAAGGCCATCTAGGGCCTATTTTGGGAGCCTGCTCTATTCTTGGAAGGAATAATGTGCAAGTGGCACTTTCTAGCAGTTCTTGGCTTCGGCCTGGAGCGAAGGAATCACTAAAGCAATCCTCACTAGGACCTTGGCATGAAGGGTGCGTGAGGCGTAACCTCAGCTTGAATATGGAAGCCTGCGCCACACCGAACCGTTCATTCAAAGTCGACAGCCCGCGGAAGTTACATCGTCAAGTTGCACCTGCCAGCGAGGCTGAGCGCTTCCGAAGAGTGGGATCGGATGCAGAAGATGGCAAATCAACTCGATGCAGGGGCCGCTGGACGGTTGTTGTGACAGTTGTGGAATCCGATGCAAGTGTCGGGGTTAAGGGGAAGGGTTTCAAGGCCAGAGAGAGATGGATGTTTTCTCAGTGGCAAGAGGTCTTCCTGAAGTGTTTGCCGCCTGTTAATTTTCGTATTCGTCGTTCAAGGTATAATAGAAGAAAGGTCTGTCACGGGTTTCCTCATCTCCGACCTTAGATCTAGAGACTTGCCCTACTCCCTACACACCTTGCGCAAGGACTACTCCCGAGACTGCGCGTGGAACAGCATGCGGACATGTGGTTGGGGGTGCCTGAGGAAGCTAGGGAGTCCCCAACCTTTGACGCCATCAGACGGAACTGACTTGGCCCCGTCTTTTGTTGTGAACAGGCGTCCTCGGTGTGGCTGCCTCCCTCCATGGCCGGGGTCGTGTTGAGCTCCTCCATGCTGCGGGGGTTCAACTACGCGGACATTCTGCGAGCGCAACTCGACAACTTGAAGCTTGCACCATGAAAGCATAACGAAACTTTGTTCCGTTCCGTTGAGAGAATCTGCGAGGGGTAGCTGCTGGGGGCCAAAACGCACTTGATGCGGACCGTACAACCTCATGTTACTAGGAACCCCTATGCCTTGTCCTGCCATCCACCCAAAACTTCGTCCCCTCCCCCCCGGCATTTGTATCCTGAAGCCTTAGCCGTAGTAGGGTTCATCAATCAATGCTTGTGTAATGGTTCAACTGGAGTCGGTCTCAGCCACTGCCACAGCTTGACTGCGCGACGAGCACAAGCACTTCGCCCGGTGCATGTGTTTGTCTGATTCTGCTTGAGCTTTGGCAGGCTTACGCTGCTCTTCCCAAAGCTGGGTCCCATACATGATATCTGAAATTCTGATTTCCGGAAGCAAGTCCCGACCGCAGCCTGAACCTTCCGTAATGCACGATGGATGGGGCTGCAGCTGGCTGCTTTTCCTAGGTTCTACAAGCGCTTTGAGCCCAAGAATATCCTCCTGATCCGCTTCAAGGAGTCTGCACGGTTTATAGCTGCTGAGGTTCTGTGAGCTTGGAGGCCTTAAGCTTGAAATGGGCTGAGGATGTTGCGGACAACGAACTTCAAGCTTCAGGTGCCCGCTGCACTGAACCCAGTACAATTTACACCTCTTAAGCCCTGACAGTCAGACGAGCATGAGTATAACTGGTGGGCGTGTAAATGTGCTACATCTATGTATCATCTAGTTGTGCACGAAGCCGCACATACGCTTACACAACGCATGATGGGCAAGACTAGACAGTCCATTTTGCTATTAGCCTACGAGAAGCACATACTTGACGCAAAGTTCTCCAAGCTCTTTCCGGTCACCACCCAACGCTGCTCGCATTCCACTCCTAAGCAGAGCGCAGAGCAGATCAGAGCAGCCTGCAACTTGTAAAGCGAGGCAGCCGCAGGGCTTTCAGAATGGACTCCTTAGCCAAGTCACTAAGTAAGATGCTGCACGAAGGACCTAGCAGAGGATACCGAAGGCACTGTTCGTCGAGTGTTTGAGTTCCTGGCCTGACAATCTATAAACTGGCTCAGTCCATGGCATGTTTTTTGTACAGGAAAGCCTTGCAGCGGTCCCAATGCACAGAAACAATCGTCAACACCACCCTTCGCCTCTTCAAGCCCTACAGCTTGTTGAGCCGAAGCATAGACGGTTCACTCGCGTTCATTGCAGGAGGTTCTTGCACTGCAGACATTGTGTCCTTTACTATCATTGCCATTTGTTTCAAGGCTAGATGAAGTTATTCTGATGCAGCATGAGGCCCATTGACCTTCACTGAAGTTATCCGAAGCCCTTGCAGCCAAGGTACGCCCGAGCCAGGAATAGGATACTCTTGGGTATTTGATTAAGATTAGGCAACATCCGTGCCACAGACAAGGTTCCTTGGATTGGATCCTAACGTGGAACTGCCGGACTTGAAGACGATCCACCCACAGGATGTCATGGACATCGAGCTTGAGAAGGACAGGTTGGAGGGCTACGAAGCCTACATGGGCTTGAGAGATCTATCAGTCAATATTGGGAGCATGTTGCCCTAGAGCTGCCTCATATTGCCCTAGTAACTCGCAGTTTGTTCCAGATTCATGGCGCCCAGCTTGAGGCCTTCGTCAAATTTCGTCAAAGCCCAGACTTCAGGAAACCCAAGCTGTGCCAGTGCGACATTACTGCGGGGAGAAACTGCATCATCTCCTAGTTCTCAACATGAAGGATATTTAAGCAGAACAAGCCCTCAGCTGGAATCCTACTCGAGTCAATCCTTGTCCGCACTGAACAATGCCTGGATATGTCTGGATGCATGCTCAAGGAATCCCTTACTTCCTCGCTTTCCGTGGAGGACCAGGACGGAGGGATCCTGTCACCTATAATCGGCCTGAGCTTGCTCGCATTCCTGAGCACAGTGACTCTTCTTTTCTAGGGTACAGCGTTATAAGGGTTGGAGTTTGGCTGATCGGCTTGGGCCGGGATATGCTTGGTTGGATCTTTTCCGCATGAGGGTGGTCAACCCGAATTCCGGCTCTACTGTCCGGACACTTGCCTGAGAAGTCAAACAAGTAACAAACTCCCAAACCCCTTTCACTTACGAAGTTGAATGAGGAGGGGGTGGTGGTGGTGGCGGCGGCACCAGTGGGTTCTGCATGGTATCACTCGCCCATGGTCGTGTAGGGTAGTTGTTCTTGGTTCCTCAAGTCTGAAGACCCGCTTTCAAGATTTTTGAAGCCAGCGCCATGGCCCTCACACCACGCCCTAAGTCCTTATGCCAGCTGCCACAGGACTTGCTCAAGCGATACTTTGAGGCTTCTGCTCTATTCGGAATTGTGCTAAGGATGCCTTGGTTTGGTGTCAGGCGTGACGGGTGCGAGCTAGGTGCTTTGTGGCCAAAATATCAAGGTTGGGTTCAGCATTCTGTTGTTGGGAACACGTTGAATGCTCCAGAAGATGTTTATTTCTGGTTTGGACTTCTGGAGTGCTTGGGGCGTGGCCTAGGGCGTGGCCTGGGGTGTAGTTCAGGTTCAATGGATTCAACCCGTCATCATGAGCGAATCTGGCAGACTCAGTGAAGTTGGCCAGCGAATTCTTGTGAAGGAGAAATCCCGCCGCACTGCCCCGCCACTTCCTACAGTAGATCTAGTTGCTTTAGATGAATGAATGGCAAGGGGAACCCGATCTTTGGTACTGCAGACTTCTGGTTGAAGAGCCAAGCTGGAAGGAGGAGGTGTGGTGGCTTCGGCAATGAGAAAGGGTCTCCTTGTGCGTCCAGCGGCCTTCAGGATTTAGGGCAGTAGCGGCTCTGTGGCAAGGATACAGAGATCTTGGCTTACTTGCTTACCTGCTTACCCATGAGCTCCTATTCCAGCATTCCAGAGCACATCAAGTGGATCAAAGCCCGGCCTGCTTGAGAATTGTCAGTGTCCATTTCAGGTGCAGAGTCGGCAATTTGCAGAATTGATGGGCAAGCCCGTGACTGCACTTTGGTGAGCGGAGCTTGCTCTCTGCGGCTTAAGTACGTTGTACGGACAATGAAGACTGCCGGCTTAACAGGCACGCACTTGGAGCTCCGGGAGAAGGTTACTAAAGTTGCTCAATACGGATCTGTGTTCTTACCCCATGTACCTTCCAGACAGAATCGGGCTCGGCTTCCTGATTTATGTTAAAGTGCTATGGAAAAGAAGAGCTGCGGGTTCATGCAAAAAATCCCGAATCATTCTACATCTTTCCACCCGAGTCACAGCACCTGGACGTTGCAACTCGCTGCACAGAACCTGAAGTCCTAGAGCCGCCCTAAAGCCCCCCAAGCAAGACTAGCAGATCATAACAGATCTAGACAGTCATCGGATGAGGCTTCTGCTTGACCTTCGCAGAGATTTTGCTCAAGGCAGCCTGAGGCCTGCAGCATACCCAACGCGCAGACCCCGTTCGGAAAAGCGTGCTTGGGCAGACATGCAGCTTATGATTTTAGCTTGAGGCCGTTAGGTGTGGTTTGATTGGACGTCATT